TACAACTATTTTGTACAACTATTTTTGCCGAGTAAATTAAATCTCCTTCTTTAAGGTGTCGAATATATATTTTTAAAATACATTAGAAAACATTTTAGATTAATTAATATCCTGCTGAGATGGTAAAAAGGATAACTAAACAGCACAGTTAACAACTATTCATACCGATATGTTTTTTTCGCCCAATCTCGCTAATGACCGTCCAAAGTCCATTAGAGTTAATTGAATATGTAGTGGCGGGGCGCACAGGATATTTGATGGCCATATAGCCTTAGTCCAATTCAGATTTCGATGCCAATTTAGATTCTGATAACAATTTAGATGGCCGCAACCGCATCAGATACAGAAACAAACACTAATTGGCAGCCCAAGCCCAAGCCCACGCAGATAAACTCGATTTAAATGCGAACATTTCACACATGGCAGTCGTTTGGTAGAAAAAAGCAAAAGCAAGTAACATAAATGCAAACAAACCTCGTTGAATTTTATTGACAGGTGTCACAGGTGAGAGGAGCAGAAGGAGCGGAGGGAAAACTGAGATTGAATGAAGGATTGCGAGTTCGATGGGGATTTGGCTTGTAACTTGGCTCTGGACTGGGAGCTGGTCTCCGTGTTTTGGGGAAAACTGGGTCAGCCGACGATTGTGCAAACACAATTATATAATCTTTAACTTGGCATGCATCTTAAATTCAATTCAATACAACTTCATGTCTGTTTCCATTTCCATTCCAGGCGAACTGGTTCAAAGCCACCCAATACTGCCGCTACCATGGCATGCATCTGGCCAGCATTTCATCACAGGAAGAGAACGATAGACTGGAGAAGCACATACGTGACTTTGGTAAGTTACAGACGGAGGAAGGACCTTCCTCTTTGGGATAACTTGATTAAAGAGGGTATTCAAAGATTTATAGGCAAGTTTTTTGTTTGGTCAGGGAAATCACATTTGGTTTAAACAAAAACTAAGGGATAAATTCTACGAGAAAAGATTATTTAATACTGTTAAAGTTTATAAACTCTACTACTTCTACTACTTCTACTATTTTTAAATAAATATTCTGTAATTAAGACACTTATGCACTCAAATTCTACTCCATGTAATACCCTTTGAATAAACAAAGCAAAACTCATACAAAAAACTGACCAAAATTGATTAAGTTCAAGCCTCAACTCAGATTGAATTAAAATAAATCTTCCAATTGTCTGACGGGCCCAATCAAAGCATATTTACCAAGAAACTGTGACAAAACCCTGACAGCTCGGACAGTTGGAACTGCATTCATTTTGCCACATTGCAACAACCCAAATCAGTTGAAAAGCCGATCAATATGACAATAGAGCCGGCCAACAAACAAAAGCTATAGAAGGGGGAATGGTACTAGGAATGGGAATATGACGACTGCTGGTGACCGGGGAAACTGAACTGGCGACTGTGGTGGTCACTGGAGTGGACTTTCTAACATAATACACGGAAGTTGGTAACCGAAAACCAAGCTGGGAGAGCGGAGTAACGAACTCCACCGGTGCACTTTCCATTGCATAAATCTCCATAGAAACAAACACAGGGCCAACAGTCGTCGTTGTTGGACAGAAAAAAAGTGAATGTTGCACATTTTTGTTGAAAGCTGACCGCCGCAAGGGCCATGGGCAAAAGTTACGCCCACTCACACACAGGAAAATGTCAGGGGAAAATGCTAGGGAAATGTAAATGGTAAGGGGGTAGGGCAATCAACTGGGAATAGAGCAGAGTTTTGCTAGTAAGCTATTCAATACCTAGTACTTAGAAGCTCTTAAAATATAGAATTAGCAAGTAATATACTTAGCTTTTGTAAGCTTGAAGAAAAGAGAATTAATTTATATGTTTTTAAAGCAAAAACTGTTTCAAACCAAAGAGGAAATAACTTCAGGAAGTCGAAAATTGTATACCCTTTCAGCTTTCATTTTGCGCATGAAATCGAATTGAAAATGGATCATAACTTTGTCAAAAATCCATTAATTTCAATTCGGAAAGCTGTTCTATGTCAGTTTTTAACATGATAATAAATTTGCATACGCAGTTTAAAATTTTAAGAAATACAAATTTTTGCCAATTTTTGAAAATTTTAAAGATGAAACCCCTTTTGAAAATTTGGTCAAAAATCGTAAAAAAAATTTTCTTTATATTTTATTGTAGGTTTATTAGGATTTCAATGCTAAATCAGAATATACATGACTTTCGGCAATCAATCACTTTTTACCTAAGATATGGCTTTAAGAAAATCCTAAATAGTCGCATTCTTTGATATTTATCAAAATTTTTGTATGATATTTTTTGAACAAAACAAAGTTTAAGGAAACCATTACCAAATAATATTTAAACTCAAATATATTCAACAAGAATGTACCACAGTTGTTAAACCTTAATATGCTTTCGAGAAACCCTCTCTAACCGAATACTCTTCGCTTTCATTTCATTTAATTTCCAGGCCTGGGCCACGAACATTTCTGGATTTCCGGCACCGACCTGGCCGACGAGGGCAACTTCTTCTGGATGGCCACCGGTCGTCCCATCACATTCACCAACTGGAACGCCGGCGAGCCAAACAACTTCCGGTACGAGAACGGCGAGGAGGAGAACTGTTTGGAGCTGTGGAATCGCGATGGCAAGGGCCTGAAGTGGAACGATTCGCCCTGCAGCTTCGAGACCTACTTTGTTTGCGAAGTGCAGCCCAATTAGGTTATGCAGGATCTGCAGGATCTGCAGGATTCGCAGGATCTTAACCTGATTAGTTAGCTATCACAGCCGCTAAAGGGAAAATGTGGATGTGAATGTGCATAATGTTAAGCTGGCAGACAGTTAGCCTGATGATCGATCGAAATTCGCGTATTCTTAGCCTAGTTGTGTAAGTGTAAAAAAATGCTTGTTGATAATTAGATAGTAGAGAATAATTAAATTATGCCTAGGATTGCCTGTATTTTCTCATGTAAAGTATAAATAAAATTTATTGATAAAATTAGGTAAACGATGTTGTGGGTTATTTGTGTTACTTGTTTGTTTTTGTGTATTTAATATACACTGAATAACCCAAGTCACTTTATCTGCTAATCCCTCATTTAAAAATAAAAAGATTCAATTAACTTTATTAGCTCATCTTTGAAATTAAACGGTAATAAAGCCTAGAATCATTTCCTGCCATGTTCAAGATTTATCTAACCATTTCAAAATTTATTTCAACCATATTATAATAACATTTACGATTATATCCTCCCTGTAAATTTTTTTAATTAGCTTTATTGCTGCCATCCATACACACTTTTAAGCCACAAAATGATATCCATCAATTGTGTCGGCACGTAAATTTTGTAGGAATCCAGCTTTTGGCGGGGGAGTGAAAATAAGCTCATCATTTCATCAGCATCCGCGCTTTCCCCACGGGGTGCAACGGTGCGTATGAGCAATCCTCGGGCCCTCTGCCGTGCTTCCCGCTCGTTCTCAATAATCATGTTTTGCCATAATGCGCGCAAATAAAATTGAAAGTGCCTGTCAGCGGGCACATCATACATATATATACTATATATAAGTATGTGTATATCCTTTTCTCCAGGGAATGCAGCCACCTGTCTGTCTGTCTGTCTCCTCTCTCTCTGTGTGTGGCAACTAAACAAAACTAATGCTGATAAAATAATCAGCTGGCGACGTCGAGGACAAGAAGGAGGCAAAAAGAAGGAGAAAAAAGGACTCGGCGTCGAGATTTCCATCCATGATTTACTTTGTTCTGCTCCAGCGATGAGAGAAGAGCTTTCGGCGAACATTGTTGCCAGCGATTCGCGACTTTTCTTTTATCCCTTGCGCCTCCTGCTCCTTGTTGTTTGGTTGTCCCTGTTATCTGTCCTGTTCGTGTCCAGCTGTTGGAGAACACGCCTCCGAAGGCTCAGGTCCTCTGCTCCTTCTGCTGCTCCGCCGGAACAGTCGCCGCCGGCAAGGGCTAGTCACAGGAACAGGACCCGGGGGAGCAGACAGGACGTAAGAAACATGTTTGCCCTACGTACGTTCGTTGTTTTTAAAGAGAACGAAGTTCTGGCACAGGCGCAGAACTTCCACTAAGAGAAAGCGCGAAGAGAAATCAGCTGGTGAGGAAAGGATAACTAAATCTGCTTGTTTTTTCAAAATATGCAACATTTTTTATGTTTAAAATGTGTATAATTTAAAGACTGGCTTAAGAAATAAAAATATATAAAATGCAAAACATAAATTTAAAAATGTTTGAATTTAATGATGCCATAAAAAAGTATTGAAAATATAACTTAAAATAAGAATTACTGAAAAAAAAGGAAGCAATGATTGGATTAATTATGAAAACAAATAACGTTAAATATCAAAAGGATGTATTTATTTTTAATACAAATTATAATATACATTCCTTTCATTTGATAATCAAAAAAATGATAATTTCGATGAATTTAAACACAAAATATTGCATTAAAAATGATCAAATAAACCCCGAGAATCAATTCCACTATTAAAATTATAATCCCATAGTGTATCTTATCTATAAAACAAACTAAAAAACTTAGACAGCGTAACATCTTTATAAAAAAACACTTACTTTAGCTTGCAATCTATTAGTACTTCCATTTTCTATTAAAGTTAAAAGTGTTGCCCGTCATTTTGGCCAATTAATCAATCACCTATCACCCCGACGTCACATTCAGAACATTTAAATTCCCATCAATCAGCCTTCGTTCATCGGCAGCTCTGACACTTTGTTTCTAAAACAGAACTTTCTCTTCTCGGGAAAATTTTTCGAAGAGAATGCCAACGTTTTTTGGTTCTCTTTTCGAACGAAAATAAAAAGTAAATTGAATTTAGCATTTTGGCCAGAAGAACACGGCCAAGAGCACGACGCACTCCGTGGTGCGTTCTCCGGTTTGCTATTCTCGATTCTCAGGTCTCGGTTCACGATTCTCGGTGCTCATTTTCCGGCGCAGTTGGTTGTAGACATTTTCCCGGTACGGACGTGCGTTAAGCGGTGGAAATTCTCGAGCACACACACGTTGCGAACGAACACGAGAGCCGAGAATAAAATATTCACATAAATTCCGTGGCGTTCGCCTCTCGGTTCCTGCGTCCTTTCGGAAAATTCATTAGCCGGAAAAAAGGCGAAGAGGTTGAGGAGAGGCGAACTAGGCGCGGTGAAATGTCAACTGGCCAGTGCAAATAATAATTGTCCATGGGGCCAACGAAGAAGTGCGTAAATTATGACATCGAAACAGTTTAAACAAAAAAAAAAAAAAAGAAAAATATAAGAGGAAAACGTCAGATAAAAGAGAGCGAGTGTCTCTTCGGGTGGCTCCCCTGAATATATGTGTGTGTCCTGATAACATCGCAGAAAGTAAAATTAGGGCAAACTGCTGGAGAGAGTGTGTGTTACTGCCACCGCCACCGCCAATGCCACTCCCACCACTTGACCGCCCTGGCTTAAAGTGTTCCTCGTTGTCGCAGCCTAATTAATTCAATGGCTCTCGGGCACCTCGATTTGTAGGGCTCCCTAAAAAGGCCACAGGATTTTTTAAAGTCTTTTGGCAGTTACTTGATATTTGTAAGGGAATTCTATCCCCATTTAAATTAATCAAATCAGTTTAAACCTTTATGGAAAGCCGCAAGAAAGTACGTTGCATTTTTCCTGATAACGTAGCACACTTGAATTAATTAAAAGGGGTCATTGAATTTATATACTGTTCTTTATAATGTTACTACAGTTTCGAATATAATAAAATAAAGGTCACCCAAACCCTTCTCAATTACCTCCCCGCCCCATTTACTTGATATTTTTATACGCAACCAAAACATATTATATTGCAAATCCCTGGGGAGGTGCCGCCACATTTACATGCTATACTTTTGAACAAACAACATTTTCGTTGGGTTAATTATTTTTAAATTGCAAAAACATTTCATACGCAAAGCCCGCAGAGCAAACGCAAAAATTTATAAATAAATATACCGATTTTCATGGCCAAACAACGTGGCACACACAAAATGGGCAATGACAAAAAAGCATCCTCTCTGTAGGGCAAAAACCTCTGTAAGCCATAAAACCAAAAACAAAGAAGCAAGAAAATCACAAAAAAAAAAAAAAAAACAAATAACGAGAGAGAAAAGTGAATCAAAAGTGGAATGAAAAGTATCCGAAAACTGAGTGACAAGTGCGATTCGACACAGTATTTCTTTTTTGTGGGCCGCCAACCCCCCGATTTTCGGTTGAAATGTGCGAGAATTTATGATGCATTTAATTAAAACGAATTTCGGATGACCGGGGACGGATGGGCACGGGACATTTGCTCGCAAATTTGATGGTGAACAAAAAGGGACTAAGGGCAGGACTCTCGAAAAGGGGAGACACAACTGCGCCTAACACTCGCCTACACAAAATTTTATATGCAATATTGGTTTAAAAAAATAACGAAACAATTTTATTTAAAATTTTTTAACACTATGAAGAAGCCATTTCCGACCCTGTAAACCATATTTATTATTGATCAGCAACAGCCGAGACGATCTAGCCATGTCCGGAAAAACATAAATTTTTGAAATTTTTTCGAAATTGAAAAACAACAAAAAAATTACAAACAATTGCAAAAATTTTTATTTTGTTTTATTTAGTATGTTGTTTTGTTAACCTAATAAAAACTAGCACATATCAGGTTTTCGAATTGAAATTAAAGCATTTTTGGCTTAGTTATGATTTTTTGAACTTTTGATTTGTCGAAGAAATGTTAATATGTATAATAATATTTCTAAATACCGAATATTTGATGGATTTTCGATGTGATCTTATAATTTAATTTCTATACTTGCTTTTTAACTGGAACTTTATAAGCTTTGAAACTATTCTCTCTTAATACACACATGGCGTATACTTAATTTAAAGGTTTTCACGTTAAGTATACGCAACGTATGCTAGATACCTTTGAAAACGGAGACTTTTTATACCATTGCAGGGAATTCTAATTTTAATCAGAAGCTTAAAAAGAAGTGAAGGACTCAATTCCGACCCTATAAATCATATATGTTCTTGATCAGCATCAGCAGGCGATTCGATCTAGGCATGTCCGGTCAATATATAAATTTCTTCAAAATTTCAAAATTTTATAAGGGTTTTTTTACATCGTTAAAATTTTGAAAAATTGGTAAAAAACTTAAATTTTTTTATATTTTAAATGGAGTATGCAGATTTATTAATCTAATAAAAACTAGCATAGGAACGCTCTCCGATTCAAAATTAATGCATGTTTGATTTAGTTATGAGTTTTTTAAACTTTGATTTGTCCACAAAATTATCATAATATAATAATCATTTAAAATAATTATTCAAAGATTGTGGATATTTTAAGCTTTGGCTTCCCAAAATAATATTCCTTTCTTGTTTTTGATAAGAAAGTAGGACTAATAAATGCCTTAGAAGAGTTTAAGTCAAAAATTATACATCCCAAATGGAAAATTGTCTTTACAATTAACCTATAATAAAAATAAGTTATAATATCAAATAGATTTATAGTATAAAGCGATTGATTATAATCTATATCTATAACAAATCTATTAACAAACGAACCATAATATCATAACTACAGCTTATTTGCCGTGAATCTAGTATATATTCTAGATTCCTAGACCTAACAGAAGTTCACTTTTATTTATATATGTATATATACCGACTCCTAATTAGTTATCGATTAATTACATAGAAAATCCACTCTCCTTACTGCCTCTTATCCTCCTCCTGGCCCCCATTCGCATGACTTACTCAACTCGACTCGCGTTGTGAGTTTATTAAAAAATCCTTACCAACCGCTGCCGCCGAAATTTCCTGTGGTTCTCCGATTTCGCCGGCTGCGTGCCTAGTGTAATTTGGCTATGTGTTGACATGGCCACCTATTAGCCCACCGCCATCGCCACCGCCCAAAAACCAACCGGAAACCCCACCTATTGTTGCGACCTTTCGGCAAATGCGTGAGTCACATGTCAGCCAACTGCGAGAGTCGTCATCGTTCTGCCAGCTGCTCTCCGTCGCTCGTCCCTCGCCGTTCCGTACCGCATTTCCGTACTTTCGTATTCCGCTCCATCTCGACTACTTCACGTCATGTTCGGCCCACAACAAACATGACATTTTACGGTTCTTTTATGCTTGCCACATGTCACGACACAGTTAACTGCCAGCCGCATAACGCAGAGCGGCAGGAAAAACACAAGCCAGCATAACATAACAAAACTCAGACCAGTCCCAAAGCCCAACCCAGTCGAACCCTACGAAACTCAAACGAAAAGCGTCTATATATGAGGCTGTTTTAGGGATGCATTTTTATGTCAAAATTATTCCCATTTAAACTTTTCCTAAGAAAATATTACATTTATTATTTGAGTACCGAAAAATGTACTTCTTGGTTGTCTTGCAGGGGAGTTGTTAAATAAAAACGAAGTAATTCTACTTGATTTAATATATTGTCACAATATTACATTTAATAGGTTTTGAAAACCATATTGATAATCTTATTGAAAACATCAATTCATACAAAGTTATGCCAGGACCAAGCCAACATGACAGACAGGGTTTAATGGCTTCTTTACCACTATTTTATGCTCGTCAAGATCTATGACATGACTGGTCTGATATACTCATCTCTACCTATAAATGGCCATATATTTATATGCACAAATATTGCTTATCCAGGTATGCAATTATGCAAAAAGGTGGGCGTGCTCTTGGGTTCTTGTCGGGCGGCTGTCAATCAAGGGGAAATCGAAATTGCTGTCGACAATCGTGAGCTTTTAGGGTTAAATTTGGGATAACACCAAAGGGACATCAATTGATGAAATGCCAGGTGACGTAAGGTAAGGGTAAACGGATTGAAAGTTTAACAAGAAAAAAAATATGGTTGAGACTGGGAGGTACTCTTTTAAAAAGTTATATAGAATTATTTACTTTGATAACTTTAACATTAATAAGTATAAGGTTGCTGGAATCAATTTCTCTGATTACTGGAACAAACTTGTATTATATTATGTTAAATTTATGTTACAAACTGAATACTCCCTAAATTAAAAAGAGTTCCAGGTAACATAAGGGATAACCCTTAGCTGCTTGAGGGCAACTTGCCGGGGTTGACTCTTTTTATTGCCGTCACTTGAGCCAATATTTGCACATTTCAACAATGTTGCCTTTTATTTTTTCATTCCACGTGGGCGTAACTCTATCTAAGTCCAACCCATGCCCCTGCCACCGAATCCTTCTCCTGCTCAGCCATGCATGCTTAAATGTAATGAAATATCCTGTTCCGTTCCGTTCTGTCCCAACGTCGTCAGTCTGCTGCTGGTCGCATAAAAAGGCTCAATTCAATTTTTCCAAGCCTCACCAGCCCGTGGTTTGCTACCTCCTCCTGCCCATCGTTTCGGTCTGCTGCCAATTCAAGTCTCCATTTTCATTAAGGGGGAAGAGTTGAATCCAAACCCTGGAGGTCCTTCAGGTGCTCACATGGTCGTGCACAATGGGCCCCCAACTCGTTGAGCTTTGTTGGAGTTACGCAAGTGGTTAGGGTGCTTCATCATCTATGCTGCAGGAACAGGAGTGGGAGTAGCTACTCCTACCTACGAGGAGTAGGAAGTGAGTCCTTGGTGCATATAATTAAGTCATCCGGTGGAGGGCTGTCCTCAGCTATGCAGCTGAAAGTTGAGCAAATTATGATGTTGCAGTCTATTTAGTATGTAGCTGCAACAACTTAATAATTTATTTAATTCAATTATGCCAGCTGCAGAATTTCCCTAATAATCCTAGAAGAGGGACCTTTAAGCTGTATCGCTCTTGAGTTTTAGATTCCCTTGGAAATTCTAACTTAAATTAGAAAGATATTAGAAAATCAGCTTCTTTAACTTGAAAGAAACTACTCATCCGGATCGTCAGCTCCTTGGTGATCCCTTCAATTTGCACTTTTCATTTCCATTTCATTTCGCAAAGCTCTCCAGAGCCCAATGTTTCATTTGTTTGCTTGTGGCTCCTCCACTTCAATTCCAGTTAAGAGGCCACAGGACTGGCCGCATTGAGACATCCTAGATGTTTCAATCGGCGCCTTTCCCACCAACGTTTACCACGTGCAATCTTGACCATCTCCTTTTCCCAGTTTCCTGTTGGGCGGTGGCTTTACCCCTAAACTTTTCCGCAGTATTTCTTATTTCTTTTTTCCCTGCCTTCCTGT